TTATAACACAATCGACGCACACGTACATCAAGGACATATGCATACATATATCTTTTATCGAACCTCACATAGAGAGAAGAGAGAACGTTAACAATTGGCGACCCTGGCTAAACACCAACATTAAAACAAGAAAAAAAAAAGACAAGAATTAATTATTATAATTGAATTATATTACTTAAACAAAATCATTATAAGAGCCTCTGCTGAAAAGAGACTCGAATAAAGATTTGTATCAAAGCCTATTCATACAGAGACTTGAAATTCATCTAATCTCAAACAGTATATATAAGTAAAAAAAAATTTGAATTAGTATTGAAAGATTGAATTTTAAATTATGATATACATCTATAAAGGTCATGATTAATTCATAAGTGTGAAAATTGATTTTTTTGAACAAATTGATCGATTTAGAAATATCAGGAATACTTTTTTCAGCAAACCGAAAATTTTTTTGATTATCAAAAAACAAAAAACCATGATGAATTTTTCCGAAAATTTAATGTAAACGAAAAGAGAAGAAACATAAAATCAATATTACGTGTGCGTCGATTGAGATAATCATAAATAGACATTCTGAAAAGAATTTCGATCATTCATTTTTTTTAATTTTTTTTGCATTTCATTCATTTAATTATTTCGTTTGGTATCAATTATTTTCATTATAACACAATCAAAACGGCTTCTGGAACAAGATCTCGAGTTAAGAAAAATAATAAACAATTATTGCCATATACCATTATTACTAATTCATTGTCTCGTTTATTATCAAAATCTCATTCTACTATAAATTCACCATCACATATAAATAAAAATAGAATGACTGATCAAACATTATTAGTAAAAGCTCGAAAAGCTCGATTTGATGACTTACCGAATTTTTCCGGACATCCTTCTGAGGATGTCGAACGATTTTTAAAAAGTATCAAGAATATGACGAATGCTAATGATGAATCCGACAATCACGAAATTCTAGAAATTGTTCGTGGCAAATTAACCCAATCAGCTGAGATATGGTTCGATAATAATGAAAATAAATTCAACAAGTGGGCAAATTTCGAAACTGCATTTCGAAATCGCTATTTTTCAACAACAATGATGCATAAAAAATTTGATACATTAAAGCAACGAAAACAATTATATGACGAACCGGTTACATCTTATTTTGATGACGTTGTTAATCTATGTCGGGAAATTGACCCAGCTATATCAGAACAAATTATCATTCAACATTTAATGAGTGGAGTTAACCCTGATTTTAAAAAAGAACTTTCAAGACGTGAATCATCTATGAACACATTAAACGAATTTTTAAAATACGTAAAAATTGNCTATATTAGTGTTATCCTCTACGCTCTTTCGTCTCTCTTTGATCTTGTATTCGTTCTTTTCGTTCTTCTCGTTCTTCTCATGATATATGTATTCTTTTATATCGTTATAAAAAACAGTTGTTACTTTTCCTTACGAAATAAACTAGTCCACGTACATCAAGGACATACGAATACATATATCTCTATCGAACCACACATAGAGAGAAGAGAGAACGCTAACATTTGGCGACCCTGGCTAAACACCAACATTAAAACAACAAGAAAAAAAAAGACAAGAATTAATTATTATAATTGAATTATATTACTTAAACAAAATCATTATCAGAGCCTCTGCTGAAAAGAGACTCGAATAAAGATTTGTATCAAAGCCTCTTCATACAGAGACTTGAAATTCATCTAATCTCAAACAATATATATAAGTAAAAAAACAAAGATTTGAATTAGTATTGAAAGATTGAATTTTAAATTATGATATACGTCTATAAAGGTCATAATTAATTCATAGGTGTGAAAATTAAATTTTTTTCTTTGAACAAATTGATTCATTTAGAAATATCAGGAATACTTTTTCAGTAAACCGAAAATTTTTTTTGATTATCAAAAAACAAAAAACCATGATGAATTTTTCTGAAAATTTAATTTAAACGAAAAGAGAAGAAACATAAAATCAATATTACGGGTGCATTGATTGAGATACTCATAAATAGACATTCTGAAAAGAATTTCGATCATTCATTTTTTTTATTTTTTGCATTTCATTCATTTAATTATTTCGTTTGGTATCAATTATTTTCATTATAATACAATCAAAACGGCTTCTGGAACAAGATCTCGAGTTAAGGAAAATCATAAACAATTATTGCCATATACCATTATTACTAATTCATTGTCTCGTTTATTATCAAAATCTCATTCTACTATAGCTTTACCATCACATATAAATAAAAATAGAATGGCTGATCAAACATTATTAGCAAAAGCTCGAAAAGCTCGATTTGATGACTTACCGAATTTTTCCGGACATCCTTCTGAGGATGTCGAACGATTTTTAAAAAGTATCAAGAATATAACGAAAGCTAATGATGAATCCGACAATCACGAAATTCTAGAAATTGTTCGTGGCAAATTAACCCAATCAGCTGGGATATGGTTCGATAATAATGAAAATAAATTCAACAAGTGGGCAGATTTCGAAACTGCATTTCGAAATCGTTATTTTTCAACAACAATGATACATAAAAAATTTGATACATTAAAACAACGAAAACAATTATATGACGAACCGGTTACATCTTATTTTGATGACGTTGTTAATCTATGTCGGGAAATTGACCCAGCTATGTCAGAACAAATTATCATTCAACATTTAATGAGTGGAGTTAACCCTGATTTTAAAAAAGAACTTTCAAGACGTGAATCATCTATGAACACATTAAACGAATTTTTAAAATACGTAAAAATTG